TGTCCCAGGTGTCCCCAGGGTGTCCCCAAGTATCCCCAGGGTGTCCCCAGGTGTCCCCAAGGTGTCCCAGGTGTCCCCAAGTGTCCCCCTATGGCAGTGACTCCGTGGACGATGAGGAGGAGATGCTCTACGGGGACTCGGGGGCCCAGCGCAGCCCCCCCAAGGAGGAGCCGCGTCGTCCCGGCCCCCCCGAGCGGGACCCCCCCCAAAACAGCCCCGAACCCACCCACTGGTGTGTCCTGGCGCGGGAGAACGGGAACATGGAGGTAACTGGGAATACTGGGAATGCCGGGAATGCTGGGAACGCCGGGAATGCCGGGGAGGGGGAGCGGGAAGAGCAAGGGGGGTGCTGAGCGCGTCAGGGCTAATGGTGACATTCCCGGTGGGATTCCCAGTGGAATTCCAGGTGGATGGTGATGGGAAAGCTGGGAAGAGGGAGTGGCAAGATGGGGAAGGGGCTCAGGGAGGTGGGATGGGGTGGGAATACTGGGAGCGCTCAGTGTGTCGTGGTGGGAGGTGTCGGTGTTCCCGGCGGAATTCCCAGTGGGATTCTGAGTGGACCGTGGCAGGAAAACTGGGAAGGGGACCGGGATAGTCATGGGAAAAGCGGGAATGGTCCCAAGGGGGCGGGACGGGGGCGGGACAGGGGCGGGATCACCGGGAATGGGAGCGGGAAGTGTGTGTGGGGTGCTGAGCGTGTCAGGGCTCATGGTGACATTCCCGGTGGGATTCCCAGTGGAATTCCCAGTGGGATTCTGGGCGGACCATGGCAGGAAAACTGGGAAGGGGACTGGGACAGTTGTGGGAAAACTGGGAAGGATCCCAGGGAAGTGGGAAAATTGGGAAGGATCCCAGGGAAGCAGGATGGGAGTGGGAGCGCCGGGAAGGGGAGTAGGAACTGTGTGGGGTGCTGAGCGTGTCAGGGCTCATGGTGACATTCCCAGTGGGATTCCCAGTGGAATTCCAGGTGGATGGTGGTGGGAAAGCTGGGAAGAGGGGGTGGGAAGAGCGGGAAGGGGCTCGGGGAGGTGGGATGGGGTGGGAATACTGGGAAGGGGCTCAGGGAGGTGGGATGAGGTGGGAATACTGGGAGCGCTCGGTGTGTCGTGGTGGGAGGTGTTGGTGTTCCCGGCGGAATTCCCGGTGGGATTCTGAGCGGACCGTGGCAGGAAAACTGGGAAGGGGACCGGGATAGTCATGGGAAAAGCGGGAATGGTC